GCATTTGACTAAATGTTTTAGCTGCTTTTATATTCATTTCTGTCTGATCACTAGATATTATGCCTATAGGGAATGAATGTTAATAACCCCCTTACAACCTGCACCACGCTCAATAGATATCATGCCTATAGGATTTTAATTATTCAAATTCGTTGCTGCATCACAGTCTATCTCGAAAACATGCCTATAGGAGCCAAATACACATAAAATCAGCTTAAACAGTCAACTATTAGAAACCATGCCTATAGGATCTAAAATCAGTTTCTAGTTATAGAAATCATGCCTATAGGATCTAAAATCAGTTTAATTGTAGAACTCATGCCTATAGGGTCTGAATCAGTTTAATTAATTGTCCTACTCGCTTCTTTAATGGCCTTCACGCTGTGCTAATTATCACCACTAGAAATCATGCCTATAGGTCTTATCTCTTATACCTGTAATCAGTAGGCAACCAGGTAGGTTTCAGAGATTGCAAACCACATGCTTATTAAAATCCAGAATCACATAGAGATCCTGCCCATTGGTTTTTGCAACTCCAACTTATTAAAATCTACAACTATCTTAGTTAATCAGGCTTTACGTGCATTTGTTGTTTAAGTGCGGAGGTCAACTTGAGCCCTTATTAGTTTATAAGTGAACGTCCAAAATGTTTTGTATGTCGCCTAGTTGTTTGTTTCATTTTTGAGCAGCCTAAGTTAAAGTCTAGAACCACCTTGAGATAGAGGACCAAATTCCTCCTGGACCCTAGGCATGGGACTCGTAGTGCACGCATAGGGTACGACTTAGAATTGACTAGTGCGCTTTAGGTAAAATCCTTAATGATAGTAATGGGTAGCAGGAGATGATAGTCTGTGCCCGCTGAATAATATGAGTCACACCCCAACCTTGAGGGAGTTACGAAGTATTATTTATGTTGCACGGGGTGATCCTTTAGGATAAAAAATTTAGGACCCCCCATCTTTGCTTAAAAATCAATCATTTTATTTATTTGTCCTTCCACTTAGACTAATTCATATAATTCAAGTTCGTTCGGGACCCACTGTTGTGGACCTCGAGGAGTGCCTAACACCTTCTCCTCAAGGTAATTTGAGCCCTTACCCGATCTTTGGTGACGCAACTAGTTAATCCAGAGTTATCTGAAAATAGGTGCCCTAACGCACCTTAATTCGTTAGGTGGCAACTCTCTCTCTCTCTCTCTCTTTTAAAACCCTTTCTTGAAAGAGTTGTAACATGTCGAAACCCAAATTTGCGAGAAAAGGGGCGCGACAGTTGGGACCGTTTGAACCAGTCCAGCTTGAGTCACAACATCAATAAAATTGGCCATCTTGGCCATGGCCTCCTGGTATATCGGTGAAGCAACAAAACCCTCTAGATGTTGAGCTAGAACTGGAGCCTCAACATGATCATCACTAATATGATCCTTTACCTAATCCTCAGGTGGATCTACTGAAACTGGCCTTGTACACTCCTGGGCTCTGGTGGGTGCTCTATCCTTAGCTGCCACTGTGCGACCCCTGGTGGGAGCCTTGGCCCTGCCCCTCATGGATACAGCCGATGGTACAACCTTTTCGTCACCTAGCACTACTGGAGCACATGTTTTCACCATTTGTGAGGGAGTAGAAGAGAGAATTCAGACTCAGACAATAATCAACGCACTATAAGGAATCAAGAAAATTGAAGTTCTTAACGCTTTATAGCCTCTTGCAGATAGATAGTGACATCTCTATATCGATCCATAAGGCTCTACTAGGCATGCTCGTGACTTGTGAGACCCTTAGAACCTAGAGCTCCGATACCAACTTGTAACGATCCAAAAACCCACCAATGGTCATGATGGAACCTAACCTGCTTATTAGGAAATCCAACGCTCAACAACAATAATAGAATCCAATAATTAAGTCATTGACTAATTCATACTATAATAACAAGGTGGAATAAGTCTTAAATCAATATGAATAGTACATGGATTCCAGATAGAGTCTAAACACGATCGCAATTGTCTCACAAATGCTTCAAAGACCTAGTATCACAACATCGCCACGAGCATCTAATAAGAGTATATAATCTTAACTGGATACAACACTAGTCCGAAAATAGAAATACATAGACATATATAAAGTGAGTAGGGAAAGGGGACTTTATGTGATGCGGATCGAATTAAGTAAAGTAGCTCAGCACAAAGTCTCCAACAAAATACTCCAACTCAGATCAATGGGTACCGCTAATACCATCCTCGAAACCTGAACAAAAAGGTGCAGAAATGTCTAAGTACAAAACCACAGTACTCAGTAAGTATCAAGTCTAGCCTTGAAGAAGTAGCGACAAGGGGTAAACGCTAACACTTACTAACAGCTCAATAAGCATATGAAACATAATTATAATATGGATTAAAGCATGATATCATCAACCAAGTCCACCGGTATAAACATAGGTAATTCTGAATTCAGATATGTTATTCGACAAGAGATAGAAAAATCAGTTATCTCAACTCTTTTCATAATTAGGTTATGAGTCAATAAACATTCATATATGTATATAAGAGCCATTGTATGAGTCTAGTCTCTGATACCAAACCTCACCACACAAATCTATATATCCGACACCGGCCAAGTGTCCAAACTAGCAGCAATCTGGGTGCCTGCACTCATAGGCCCTAAACTAACATGGGTAATCACCTGACTCTGAAGGGACGGACCCATATTCAAGCGTTGTTTTTATGTGCAACCCGATCCACTAATAAAACTATTGCGGTGTGCAATCTGATCCAATCACAATATCATCAATAATCAATATCCGCCCACTACGTCCTTGGTGTCAAAATTCTCATTTTTTCACAATATTCAACTCTCCAGCTCATGGACATGTGTATGTAATAATATAATAAAGAACGCCAGGCATAATAATAAAGATGTGGATGAAAGGCCATATGGCTAAAAGATGGCTATAGCTAATCGTATAATTCAATTTATCACAACGGCTCAACAATCTAGCTCAACGTGCACCAGTATAATCATATTATTTAACATAAGTAAATTAAGTTACTTAACTACCAAACATGAAGCAATTAAACAAGTGAATGACTACGGTTAACAAAAAAGCTCAACATGGCAAAATAATTCTTTATGCCCAATTTAACAACTCATAACCGTAATCATGCTCCAAAACCATAATAATTGGTCATCACGTAGGCAAAGATTTATCGAAACATGGATAATAAATGTTACAGTCTAAACAAGGCATAATCATACTTAACCCGATATGGTCATAACCTAGCTACATATATACGCTCATCATCTGGCATATACATTGCTCCTAAATCAAGTGGTAAGTAGAAAATCCATAACCTATAAGGAGAATTCCCTCTTACAATAATAGACAAGAGACCTACCTCCATCTGGTAATAACTTCAACCTTCCAAAACATCCTTTCCTCTCAAATAAACCTCTAGATGACTTGAATCACGTCAAATACAACTCAATAACATCAAACAAAGCTAAAAGAAACCATTTCCAGATAAAAAAGCGTCAATCTTTAATAAAATTCCCTAATTCAACAAAAGTCAACTCAGGTCTATGTGGTCGAAACTCGAGTCTAGGGGTAGATTCCGACTAGCCATAACCCTATGAGTCCAAATATATGATAAATTCTAAAATCAAGTCCAATCGATCCTTCAGTCCCCGAAATACACTCTCTTAAAATATAGGCTAAAACCCCTTATTTTTCTTCAAAATTCCATGATTAAAGTGTAGAAATCCATGGAAAAACAAGATAAATGGTCAAAAACAAGTAGAAATTACTTACCCTCTTGCCTTGTATGAAAATCTCCTTGAAAATCGCCCCTCTCCACATCTAGGGTTCAAAAAAATAAGAGAATGAGCTAAATTCCCCAATAACAACTAAATAAGTATGCCCAACACTACCCTTCTCAAACGCGACCTAATCCTTTCGTTCGTAAAGTACAAATCTGCCTCTAGCAAAAAACATCATGAATGCGACGGCCATCTGCCTGTCCTATTCGCGAATGTGAAGGCTCTTCACTCAACTCAGATGTGTCTTTGCGAATGCGGCTCCTTTCTACAACGCGAAGCACAACAGCCCCCAGCTCTAATTTCGTCATTGCGAACACAAGACACCCCTCGAATGTGATGAACACCATACACTAGAAAATTAGATAATCTCCAAACATGCGCGGGGGTAATCCAAAATTCATCCAAGCCCCCTAGGACCCCGTCAAATCATACTAACAAGTCCAATTACTTCCTACAAACATGGACCAAGGCTCAAACATCAAAAATAATAACAAAACTAAGAATTGAATTTCAAATCCATCTCTTAACTTTCAAACATTACAACTTACCGAACGCGTTCGAATCGCACCTAGACATTCAAGATCACAACAAAAAAATTGAACACAAATTCCAATTAGTCAAATGAACCTATCCTATGGTGTTCGATAACATCAAAATCAACTCAGGTCAAATCCATGAATTCCCCAAACCTTTAAATTCCAACATTTGAAAAATATAGCCAAAATCTTCTAGGAACTTCCAAATCCAAATTTGAATATATGCCCAAGTATGATATCACCATACAAACCTATTGGAACCATTACATAACCAATCAGAGGTCGTCTACTTAAAAGTCAAACCTGAGTTAACTCTTATAGTTTAATCTTCCAAAAATATAGCTAAGTATTCCAATTCATTCTCAAGCTTTCCCAAAATCAAATCAACCATTCTCGCAAGTCATAAAACATCAAGAAATTACGGGAAGCTTCAAATAAGGGAACGAGGCTCTAATACACAAAGGAAACGGGCGGGTCGTTATATTTTATTCTTCTTAAACAAACATTCATCCTCGAATGGGCTTAAGTCTTAAACAAACATTTGTCCTCAAATGGGCTTAAGAATCATACCTGGAATGCCAAGAAGATAGGGATATATGCTCCGCATATCATGCTCAGCATCTGAACGTGCTTCCTCGACCTGTTGACCCCTCCTTTAAACCTTCACTGATGCAATTTCTTTCGACCTCCACTTTTGAACCTTACTATCCAAGATGACCATCGGCACTTCTTTATATGCCAGATTCTCATCAAATTGCACTGAAATGAAATCTAACACATATGACTTGTATTCATAATACTTCTGAACCATGGAAACATGAAATAGCTGATGAACTTCTGATAAGCTAGGTCGTAAAGCAAGTCGGTAAGCCACCTCACTAAATTTCTCCAAAACCTTGAATGGGATAATATATCGAGGGTTCAACTTGCCCTTCTTCCCAAATCTCATCATGCCCTTCATAGGAGAAACTTTGAGAAGAACCTTCTCACTCTCCATGAAAACCACATCACGATCCTTTCTATCAGCTTAACTCTTCTACCTGGATTGCGCTATATCAAGCTGATCTTGAATCATTCACCCTCTCCAAAGCATCAGGAACTAGATTTGTGCCTAACGACATAGCTTCACCAGGCTCAAACCAACCAACCGTAGAGTAACACATTCTCTCATATAAGGCCTCAAACTGAGCCATCTAGATGTTGGACAGTTAGCTTTTGTTGCAAGAAAACTCCGCCAATGGTAGAAACTGATCCTACTGGACACCAAAATAAATAACACATGCTCTCAACATATCTTAGAGGATCTAAATGGTCCACTCGAATAGCCCATCGGTCTAATGGTGAAATGCAGTACTAAGCTCCACCTTTGTTCCCAAATCATGCTAAACAGCTCTCTAAAAGTGCAATGTGAACTGCGTACTCCGATTTGAAATGATAGAAATAAGAACACCATGCTACCAGACAATCTATCTAATGTAGATCCGAGCCAACTTCTCTAAACTGTATGAAGTCATGATTGGAATGAAATGAATATATTTGGTACATCTGTTCACAATAAACCAAACAAAGTCAAATCTCCTTGTAGTCCATGGCAATCCTTCCACAAAGTCCATAGTAACACGATCCTACTTCTATTCTGGTATATCTAATCTCATAAGCAAACCCACCTGGTTATTTTATGCTTATATGTGACTTGATGACAATTCAAACACTGCAAAACCTGCCCAACAATGTCCTCCGCCACCAATAATGCTACTTTAAATCACGATACATTTTATAGTACTTGGATGAATAGAACACCATGAACAATTAGCCTCCTCGGGAATTAACTCCCTCGAACCATTCACATTAGGAACATAAATCTGACTCTGAAGTCGCAATACACCATCATCACCAATGACCACCTCTTTAGCACCACCTTGAAACACCGTGTCCATAAGTATAAGCAAATGGGGATCACCATACTGGCGAGCCTTAATGTGCTCAAACAAGAACGATTACGCAACAACACAATCAAGAACTCTACTAGGCTAAAAAATATCCAATCTCACAAACCCATTGGCAAAATCCTGAATATCTACAGCCAAAGGCCTCTCCATAGCTAGAATAAATGCCAAACTCCACATACTCTCCGCCTTCTTACTCAATGCTCCACTACTACATTCATCTTTCCCAGATAATACAAAATAGTAATATCATAATCCTTCACCAACTCCAACCACATCCGCTAAGTCAAATATTTTTACTTGAACAAATGCTGAAGACTCGAGTGATCAGTGTAAACCTCACTTGACACACCATGCATGTAATTCCTCCAAATCTTGATCGCATACACAGTAGTTGCCAACTCAAAATATTAACTAGATAGTTCTTCTCATGAGGCTTCAACTGGCGTGATGCATAGGCAATCACCCTACCGTCTTACATCAACACAGAACCTAGGCCAACGCGCGAAACATCACAATAGACAGTATACATCCCCGATCATGAGGGAAATACCAAAAGTGGAGTTCTATTCAAAGCAGTCTTGAGCTTCTAAAATCTCTCGTCGCACTCATCATACCATCTGAATGGAGCACCTTTCTAAGTCGACTTGGTTAATGGAGCTGAGATAAATGAAAATCCTTCAACAAAGGGATGTTAGTAGCCTTCCAAGCCCAATAAACTTCTAATCTCTATAATTCTAGACAATCTAGGCCAACTCTAAACTACCTCAATCTTCTTCGGATCAACCTTGATACCATCACTAGACAACACACGACCCAAGAATGCCATCGAATCCAACCAAAACTCACACTTAGAGAACATATCATATAACTTATTCTCCCTCAGAATTTGAAGCACAATCCCCATATGTTGCTCGTGCTCCTCACCACTACGGGAATACACCAAGATATTATAAATGAATAAAATGACAAAAGAATCCAAATATGATTGAAATACATTATTCATCAAATTCATGAAAGTTGTTGGGGCATTAGCCAAACCAGAAGACATTACCAAGAACTCATAATGCCCATAATGTGTCCTGAAGGCCATTTTAAGGATGTATGAAGCCCTAATATTCTACTGGTTATAACCCGATCCTAAATCAATCTTTGAGAACACCTTGAATCCTGAACCTTAAAAAAATCATCAATACGAGACAATGGATACTTGTTATTGATAGTTACCTTGTTCAACTGCCTATAATCAATGTATATTCTCATAGAACCATCATTTTTCTTCACAAACAACACCAATGCACCTCAAGGAGAAATACTCGGTCTAATGAATCCCTTATACAATAACTCCTGCAATTGCTCCTTCAATTTCTTCAATTGGATTGGGGCCATACGATAGGTGGATTAGATATGGACTGAGTGCCCGACACAAAATCAATACCAATATCCCAATCGGGTGGCATGTCTATTATGTCTACAAGAAATACATCAGGAAACTTCCTCACTACTAGGATTAAATCAACAGTAGGAGTCTCAGCTCTAGCATCTCTAACAAAGGCCAGATAAGCCAAACACTCCTTCTCAACCATCCATTGAGCCTTCAAAAATGAAATTACCCTACTAGGGGTATGGCCCAGAGAACCGCTCCATTCTAAGCTTAACAACCTTGGAAAAGCCTGTCATGGTCTTAACCAGAGAAACGAGAATATCATGGTACATAGATAGTCAATCCATACCCAAAATCACATCCAAAGCTACCATATTCAACATTAGAAGGTCAACCTTGGTCTCATAACCCCTAATAGCGACCACAGAAGAACGATATACACAATCCACCATAATAGAATAGGTGTAGATACATGAACAAGAGTATCAATTAAACCACGAGTCATACCCAAATAAAGAGCAAAATATGATGACACATACGAATAGGTAAGCCTCATATCAAATAATACAGAAGCATCTCTATAACAAATCAAAATCATACCTATGATCACAGAATCTGAGGCCACCACCTCGGGTCTGCCTAAAAAATCATAGCAACGAGCCTGACCACCACGGGTCTAACCTCCACCTACCTAGCCCTGTGTCATGACCCAAATCCCACCATAAGGTTTGTGATGGTGCCTAGCTCCTAAAACTAGGTAAGACTATCACATGATGAGATCAAATAGAATATAACAACTTAAATACTAAATAAAGGCTAAAAAATACCATAACATAGCCAAAACAGGAATACATTAGTCAAAAGTCCAAAACCTGATAATACAGAGTCATACGCTCTGCAAACAAAGAGCTGAACTTTAGAAGATATGGCTCCCTGCACGTGGTTCATTCTAGGAAAACAACCAAGTCACCTACAAGAAAATAGAATAATACAAAAAATAAGAAGAAAGACTTCAGGCATGAAACCTACAGCACATTGCATATCGAGCTACGATACACTTGACTTTATCAAATCTCATGAAAAACATACTCAAATGTATAACATTGTTTGAGAAGACATAAACAATAGAAAAAGGTACAATAGGGTGACTCCGAGGCCTGCGAGCGAAACAACAAGTATACCTTGCAGTCTCCAACAGCTCAGCACCACTCCCTAATGACCAGCACGATCTGAGATAGATTTGCACAATGAATGTGTAGAAGCGTTCTAGGAGTACAACAGAGTCAGTACCTAGTAAGTATCGAGACTCGCCTCGGCGGAGTTGTGACGAGGTTCAATTCAAGACAATCACTAGTCAAATAACATGCGCAAGATATCAATATAAAATTGACAATGGAAAACATAACAAAATAAATATCAACCAAGAGTGGGACATGTGATAACATAAAAATGCATATACTTAACCATTATTGCCTCACATGCTAGTACTTTCAATCATCTTTTGACTATTAATTATATTATTTTATGCTTAATATTATATTTTAATTGTGTAGGAATAAAGCAGTGTGAAGATGAAGAAATTTGGAGCAACCTTGAATAAAATACGGAAGAAAAAAAAAAAGAAATAAACTAATGTGAGGAAGAAGACAAAGGGGGGACACCCTTTGGTGTACCCCCCCCCCCCCCTTCCCAAGTGTAGATAAACATATACAAGGAAAGAAGGAAATAATGAAAATGAATTGAGTAGGAATCCAAGTTGAATGAACGCCTAAGTTGAGCGTGAAAAATCATTGGATTCAGCTCCAGGGCTAGCGCCACAAGCTACCCTAGGCGCGAGGTGACGAGAAGTCTCCTATTTCGTGCGGAACAAGGTTATTTCGGCCCTACACACCCCCAACTCGTATAAAAAGGGTCCTAAACCTATTTTGGAGGGGAGGACGCTTTTTAGAGTAATGTTTGATGAAGGGAGAGCACAAAGCCATCGTGGAGGCCGGATTTCATCTTTTCTTCCACCAAACTTAGTAATTTTTATGTTTCTTTGCATGACTTGTTGTTTGGCTACCATGTCTATGTGGAGCTAGACTTCACGTTCTAGGGTTATGGTTCTTTCATGACTATTGTTATTCTAATATCAATTTTGATTTCTTTGTTTATCGCATTGATTTATTTATTCAATCTTGTGCTTAATTGTTTGATTACTTGATCACCAATTGAATACTATCTATGAATGTAGAATTGAACTCGAAAGTGGGAATTCTAGATTGAATCTAGGATTGAGTAGAGCAAGTTCTTGAACTTGGGCATCAGGTAATAGATTCGCGGTTTGGATAGGCATATGCTAATTGCCTTGCTTGGTTATTATACGGAAACTACGAATGCATTCTTGTTGATTCTAGCTCTATAGACATATAACTGTTGGGTTAGCTTGAATAGGAGAGTAAGAGAATGAGAAATTCGTATGAGAAATATTAACCCTATCAACCAATAAACTAGATAAATTAATTAGTCAACTTAATTGAAGAATACAATAGAATTTTTAGATATCCCATGACCCTAGATCGTTTTCATCGCATTGATAACATAAAAATCTACTCTTCCTTTGTTCAGAGTTCACTATTTGTTTTTCCTTTATTTTAATTAGCGCAGAACCAAATACTTCTAGGTTTA